TCACTCTCCTGGTGAGCAGCCGCTTTTCCGGACAGTTCTGGTGCTTAGGAGTTTGGGGAGCAGGGGAAGGGCGCGGGCAAACCTTGGGAGACACCTGCCAAGGGAGGCTGTAGCTCACTGTCTCCCTGCCCACACTGGCCCTCCTGGGGATGCCCCCACCCCAGGGCACAGTGGAGGTTCACAAGCAAAGACCAGGAGCTCGCGCTCAGGTGCGCTCATTTCTGTGAAGGTCTCCAGTAGCGGCTGGGGCTGCCATCTGCACTGATTGCATAGACGTCACAGTCCTTGTTTCCACCACCCCTTGAAGTTCTAAATCTGGGCTCCTGGGATCTGGGCTCGCACCTGAGGGCTCTTGCCTTATTTAGCCTGAGGTGACCCCCAGAGGCTTCCTGGAGGCAGCACACAGTGCAGTTCTCCCTGAGGAAGGCAGGAACATTCCTCGGGGCTGCAGCAGCAGGGCCCAGTCTGGGCGGAGCCAACGGCGGGTGACCAGGGGCAGGCAGGATGTGGGGGCCCAGCCATCGGAGGACCCTTTTCGAGTTCTTGCTGTGGAGACAGCGCTGTTGGCCCTGAGGGGAAGGGGACAAAAGCGAGGCCGTCTCTGATCTCAGGGCCCTCCCTCCTGCCCTGGGAGTGTGGCATGTTCTCTATCAGCCAGAAAATAAACGCTCAGGGATGAATGTGGGGAGGGGGGAGTGATGCTGACCCCTGGGGATGTCCAGAAGAGGAGGCTCTTTGGGAGCCAGGGTTTCTGAGAGGCGGAGGTGGGGAAGGGGAGGGAGGTGGGGAGGAGAAGGGAGGAGGAGAGTGGGGCTGCCATCAGAGCTACGGAATGGAGTGTTGTGTCCACAGAAGAGCCAGCCTGCCCCTGGTGGCATTGTAGAGCTTGGAGGTGTGTGTCAAGGAGGCTGAGGCAGGTCCTGCTTGGCCCTCGAGGCCCCAGGCCAAAAGAGGGAGCCCTGGGGATGACTTGGCCGCCCTCTGGCCGCAGGGCAGGCTTGTGGGGGGCGGGGGTGGGCCCGGCAGGAACAGCCACCTCGGGAGAGTTTGAGCATTGGCGGGACCACAGACCCGGCTCCCACTGGAAAGGCATTGTGTGTGCCAGGACGGGCCCTGGGACTGCCATCCCTTCTCTCTCCTCCCTTTTGTGATGGACTTCTTGAAAAGGCGTTTCTGCTGCTTGGGACCCTCCTCTCCTCTGCACTCTGGCTTCCCACCTCATCCTTCAGCCCAGACACCTCTCCGGAGTTGCTGATGGTCTCCTAATGAACAGCTGACATTTCTGTAGCACGTTGTAGACACTGCTAAATGCTTTACAATTATTATCTCAATCGGTCCTCACAACTCTGGGAGGGAGGTTTACTATGATCCCCATTTTATGGACTAGGAAACTGAGGCAAACAGCAGTTAAGTGATTTGCCCAGGGTCTCGCAGCTGGCAAATGTCTGGGGCTGGCTTTGAGCACAAGTCGTCCTGACTCCAGGCCCAGCACTCTGTCCATACACCAGATGTAAAGGACTGTCTATCCCCTTCCTTCCTCCATGCTGTCTTCTGTCTCTCACCACTGCTCTTGCCTGCTTCTCCTCCTGTCCGCCTGACAGCTCCTTCTCAGTGTTCTGTGCTAGGCCTCCATCTGGCTTTTGCTTATTAGCTGTGGCTGTCTCCAAGGCTCTGTGTTGGGCCCTCTCCTCACGCCCCTTGCTACCTCTCCTGTCTTTAGTCTCCTCTTCAGGACAGGGTGGTGTTTGGCCTGGGTGCACCCTGGAGCCACCCTCGAATTTTCACAGCTGTATGAACCAGTTCATCTTGGGTGAAGTAAACACTAAGAAAGGTGTGTCTCCGTGATGGCCTGGCCCCTCGTGTGTCATGACAGCCTTGGGGGCCCAGTGTCTAGTGGGACTGGACCCCTCGTGTGTGTGAGGATGGCCTCCCAGGGCCCAGCATCTGGTGGGACCGGACCCCTTGTGTGTGTGAGGACGGCCTCCCAGGGCCCAGCATCTGGTGGAGCCAGACCCCTCGTGTGTATGGAACGATCTTGGGGGGCCCAGCGTCTGGTGGCACCATTCAGGGCTGGCTGGATATGCTTTTCAGTCTTTGCGTGACCACGAGTTGGAGCCCAAGCTGGGTTGGTGTTTCTCCATGTTTAGTATCCCCTAATAAACAGTTGTTTGTGTTTGACTTGGTTCCAGATTGGTAGCTATTTGAAGGGAAAAAAGGAAAAAACTCTGAATGAAGACAACCTGTCTTAAATATAGCACAGGAGATAAAGATAGTAGACACGTTAGGCCTGGTATGCTTTGGAGGTTAGTATAAAAATACCTCCAGGCAAGATCGGTGCTCCATTTGTGGAGGAAACGAAATGTTCCACATACCCGCTGCTTCTTTTCCCAGCTCGGCCCTAACCCTTAGGAACAGGGAGGCAGCCGAGGGCAGGGAGACGTCCTGGTGGGCACCCCAGTGGCTTTGCACTCAGCGGGTCTGGGTTCCAATTGTGCCTCTGCCGACTAGTGCTCATGTGATGTTGGCCAGTCTTCTATAAAATGAGGGGCCTGGACTGCACGGCCTTTGTGGTCCCGTCCAGCTCTGGGCCTTCCAGCTCAGAGCCAGGTGACCACCAAGTCCTGACTGGTTCCCTTGTTTCACACCCTGTCTGTGAAAGGCGGGCAGTGGTCGCTCACCAGGAGTCCAGGGTTGTCGGAGGCACGGCTGCTGTGGAGGCCTCACCCCTATTCGTGATGGCCTCCAGGCCTTTGCACGTTGGGATTCTGGAAGTGGATCTTACTTAGACAGGGTTGTCCTGGGCATTAGCTGAGATGGAAAGAATATGAACTTGGGGAAAGCATCCCTTAGTGGGATTGCTTGCTGGAGTCCAGCTGTGTGACTAAGAGCTGATACAGGCCTAGAGTTGAGGCAAGCTAACCCCGGCCCCGCACATGAAGAGGGTGAAGCCTCTTGAGGCAGTCAGACGAAGCACATTTCTGTATTGACTGTGTCCTCAAACCCAGGTTTCCGCCTGCTCCGCCAGGCCATCCGCTGTGTGTCAGGGGGTGGTCCTTGGGCATCTGCGTGGTCTCTGCATTGACCACAGTTCTTGAGGTGTTGCCAGTTCTTTTGACCACGTTGAGATTGCGTAGATGTTCCCCAGATCTGCGCGTGTTGAGACCCCAGTTACATTGCCTTTTTTTCAACTCCTTCACTGGGGATGTGGTCCCCACTTTTGCCTTTGGGATTTCCCGTTCCTGCCTTCTGGCTGCTCAGGTGGGAGTTGTCACGGTCATGGGCTCGTCACTGTCCGCCCTCCTAAGTTGGCACCACCTGAGTGCTCTTGTCTGTAACCAGTATCCCTCCCCCTTCCCTTCCCGCCTATCAAATATTATTTTTGGAAAGACCCCCCCCCCCCCAAAAAAAATGTGTCTGTACAGATATAGACATGAGACCCGGGTCACAAAGGTCCAATGCCTTCTCCAGTCCCTCCCTCCTACCCCGCTACAGCTTCTATCTGGCTGCTCCTAAAGCCGAGCTCTGAACAGAAATTCCAGGGGCTGCCTCGATCTACTAGGATAAAATATCACGGACCATTGCATTGGAAATGTAAAGCCCTCTGACTCTTCCAGGCGTATTTGCATTACAGATTCTCTGGCCAGACCAACTGCCCTTCTTGGCTAAGCTGGTAGGTGATGCCTGCGATCTCCTCCCTCCTCAGCCGGCTCAAGACTCTGCTCAGATTGTGCCCGCCTTCCTGAGGTCTTTCCCACCCCCCCACCCCCAACTTCTGGTGCCCGTCCCCCATGGCCTTGTAGTTACTTTGTCTCTATGTTGGTTCTTCTCTGTGTCCAAGTGGTTTCCTGATGGAGTGCAAGTTCCTTGAGGGCAGGCAGGGCCTGTCTCCTCCTGGCGGTAGTGTCTCCTTCTCTCCCCTGTGCCAGGCGTGTAAACACTGGTTTTGTTTGAGGGAGCCATCACCAGCGCTTGCCAGTCCCAGCCAGGTCACCCAGCACGGGAAGCGGCCTGGCCCGGGGCTTCCTTCCCATCCCTTCACCAGGCATAGCCTGTGGGCGGTCACCTGGGATGACTGACCTCTGCAGCCCAGCAGGTCTCCTTTCATTTTTGGAGCTTTCTGAAGTTAGGCCAAAGCCTCCTGAGATGGGTTTGGCTTCTGCTTTATTTTGCAATGCATTCATTTGTGTTTGAAAGTGAAAACGCGGGCCTGCCCCCAGAGTCTCTGTGAAAACACTTTGGCCTAGGAGTGGTGGAGGGCACTTTCTCGGCCCTGCCTGGTGAACACATTTCTGAAGAGGGCCCTTGTCTGGCCGTGGCACCAGAGCCTGCTCCTGCTGGACCCCCGAGGGCACATTCCGTCCTTGCCCTCAAGCGATGCTCTGCCCTCTTCTGCCATCCTGAGCCAATCCTCTCTTACCTTCCCGTTCATGAGTGAGTGATTTGGGGGAGAGGGGCTGCCCCAGGATGACTTCTCTTTGGAAACGTCACGTGAGGGTGACGAAGCAAAAGCGGGTGGTGTCAGACGCAGCTGAGCACTGAGTGGAGACAGTGGGGGGGAGGGGGGATTGGCTGGTGGGCTTCTGCCTCCCCTCCCGCCGTGGTTCGCTGTTAGGCGCTTTCGTTCCTACCAGTCACCTCGGAGCCCTCCCCCCACAGGGGTCATCGGGTGACTCAGATCCTCCTCTCTGAGCCCTTCTGAGGTCTTTTAGTGCCCGTCTGTCTCCACGTGCCCTTGGAGTCCCATCAGCCTGCCAACAGTGTGCCAGGGATTGTGCTGGGTTCTGGAGCTGTAAAGACACACAGGGAAGTCTGCCCTCAGGGAGCCTCCGTTCTTCTAGGGGAGATACTCGTGTCTGTACCCCGACACGTATCCAATACCGACTGTGTGGGAAGTCATTTGGGGGGAGGCCTCCATGACTGACCGGCTGGGGGGACGGTGTGCGTGGCCGTCCGCCGCAGCCGCCTGACCAGCCGTGTTCCCTTCTCTTTCCCGGCTGCAGTGGACGTGAGCCCAGCGCTGCCCCTCCAAGTGGCGCCCTCCGCCGTGCCCATGGACCTCCGCCTGGACCACCAGTTCTCGCTGCCGGTGACGGAGCCCACGCTCCGCGAGCAGCAGCTGCAGCAGGAGCTGCTGGCCCTGAAGCAGAAGCAGCAGATTCAGCGGCAGATCCTCATCGCCGAGTTCCAGCGGCAGCACGAGCAGCTCTCGCGGCAGCACGAGGCCCAGCTCCACGAGCACATCAAGGTGAGTGGGGAGCCGGACACCAGACGCGCCCGGCCACGCCGGAGAGGCGGGAGGAGCAGGGAATGAAGGGGCTCGGCCTCCCCTCCTGCCCCCAGGGTGCCTGGGCGGGAGCATCTTCTCTGAGCCGTCGGCTCTCCGAACGTGGGGTCTGGAGGCAGTGTCGGGGGTGGGGGAGTGGGGGGCTCTGGCTCGAGGGGCAGGTCAGCATCCAAGGGCCAGCTCTGGAAGGAGCCTTGGAAATCACCCAGCCCCTCCCCTTCCCTTTACACCTGAGGAAACTGAGGCACGGGGCCCTGCGTCATTGCCCCAGGTCACCGTGGCGGCACCTTGGAGCCCACCCGGGCTAGGGATTCTTCCCCCTTCCTGTGTGCTGGGCCCCCTGCACTCAGCCTGGGGAAGCCTGGGGCGCCCCTGCCCCTCTCAAAGTACAGTAGGTAGAGGACAGGAGAAGCCAGCTATGTGGCTGCATGATGACCAGAGTATTTTTAAAAATCCCATTCACTGGCTCCAGGGTGAGACCCTCTGACCAGCCCAACCCCCTTATTTTATAGATGAAGAAACTGAGGCAGATTAAGTTGTAGCAGAAGGAGCGTTGTCAGGAGCGTGCACAGGGGAGGAAACCGAGGCCCAGAAAGCTGACGTCGCCCTGCCTCGGGTCATCCGGAGGGCCAGAGCCCGGGGCGCTTTGCTCTCAGGCCAGTCCGTTGAGGCCGGGCGGCAGGCACAGAAGACAGAGTCAGGAAGACCTGGGTTCAAATCCAGCCTCAGACACTTCCTAGCTGGGTGGCCCTGGGCCAGTTACTTAACCTAGTCTGCCTCAGTTTCCTCATCTGTAAAGTGGAGATGATACTAGCACCTGCCTGCCAGGGTTGTTATGACGATCAAATGCAATAACAGCTCTAAAGCACTTAGCACGGTGCCTGGCACACGGTAGGCGCTTCATTAGTGGAGGCTGCCCTCCTTCCTTTGCTGCCCACCGCCACCGGCCGAGCCCCTGCCAGCGGCAGACCAGCTCTCCCTCATGTGCTCGCCTACTCTGCGTCCAAGGGGGAGGCCCAGGCCCGGCAGGGGTGAGGCAGACAGGCCCCGGCATGCAAAGGCCTGCCACGCTCACCCGCCAGACACACTCTCACCTGTACGCTCACACTCGTGCGCTCACGCATGTGCACACCTTCACTCATGTGCTCACACACATGCACGTGAGCACACACATGCACACCCCCCCATATGCTCATACTTGTGTGCTCACACACATACACATGAGCACACATGTGCACACCCTCACTCTATATATGTATCCGCACACACTCATACACTCACACACGTGCACGTGAGCACACACATGTACACCCTCATATACTCACGCACACACAACCATGTACATTCTCATTCACATACATGTTCTCACTTACACACTCACACTCATACACACATTCTCACTCATAAACCTATACTCACCCACACTGTCACATATACACACACACAGATTCGTGCACACATACCCCTGACCATACACTGTCTCTGTCTGTCTCACACACACACACACACACACACACACACACACACTCACAATCACACTCATTCACACCCCCTCAGACACACACATGCACATGTACTCTTTCCTCATTATGACCTTGGCTGATTCTCATCTCTCTCCCTCCTCAGGAGCACGCCATGGCCTCGGGGTGTAGGGGTGGGGGTGGGGGCCAGATGGGGAAGTTCCCGTCTCTGAGGATGAACCCGGTCTCTATAATCCCAGGGGCCGATCTGTCCGTCGCGGTTCTCTGCCTCATCTTGCTTCCTGTCGCGTTCTCGTGGGCCCTGGGCATGGGGTGTCCCAAGGGATACCAGGCCAAGCTGTCTAGGGGCTTGGGTGGCACCCAGACCCTCTGTGCTGTGCCCGGGCAGGGAACCTGGTGGCATTTTGTCACCTTTTACAAAGGTCGCTCATCATCTAGAGATGGGTTTAGGTCGCCTCTTGTGAAGGGTGAGGAAGGGTGGGCAAAGGGGAGTATTTTGTCAGTCTCCTGTCCTGGAAAATGTCTCCAATGATGCCCTGGAATTCTCCCCTGGATGTAAGAAAGAGGAAGTCACTTACCTTGTGGTTGCTGGGAGGCCCCGATGAGAGACAGGCATATGAGGACGAGAGTCATCTGGTCACTCGAGATTTATGGGCCTGGGGGAGGGGCCCCTGGGCTGGGTGGTTTAGTCCCATATTTGGGCCTCAGTTTCTTTTCCAGTAAAACAAGGGCATAAAGCAGGAATCTGCTCCTCAGACTTGTGGGCAGTGCCTCGGTTTCCCCATTTTGGCAGTGAGGTGTTTAGCTCCCATCCAGCTGCTAATCCACAATGCCCAGGTTGGTGATCCTTTGACTGTGCCAGGCCCCAACCTCTTGGAGGTTCCAGGCTCCCCTAAGGCATTATTCCAGATTTTCCCCTTCTCTGGAAGTTGTTGGGTTTGTGGTCAAGCTCCGGGCTTTGCCGATGCCGGGGTGAGCGCATGGCTCCGGCCCTCTGGAAGGCCCCAGGGGAGGCTTCGTCACTCAGTCACAAGCCTCCATTACGGGCCAGGCTCCGAGCCCATGGTCCTGTCTGGGAAGCTGGGTGTGGGCTTGTCACGTGGAGCGAGGGGGCCGTTGGCAGGGGCAGGGTGGCACGTGGTCATTGAGGGGCGGTCAGCACAATGGTGGCCCCTCACCTCCCGATCAGGAGCGGGAGCTGCAATGGGGGTCTGAGCCAATGAAAGCGAAAACCTGGATTCTTGTGTCGAACCCGAGGGCTGCTGGGATCTCCGAGATTGTGACGTTCTCCTGGTGTGCTCTGGGCTCGTGGGCCCACGGTGGGCACTTTAGACACCTGGGCTTCCCCGATCGGCTCTTTGCCCTTGTACGTGGGTCCTTTCACTCTGGGCAGCATCAGCTAAAGTCGAGCGATATACTCGATGGGCTTTTCATGTCATTAAGGCACTGGAGGGGTGTTCCTTTCTCCCTTATTCATATTTATCAAGGCTGACTGTCAGCCTGAGGCCTGAGGCCTGTGCTGATGAGCCTGGAAAGGATCAGGGATTGGCCAAAGCAGACGGGTCAGGCAGGACCGTGCTCCCACTGGCCTGGCTGAAATGGCCATGGGCCCAACATGTTCTGACTCTTAAAAATATGCATGAAAACAAGAAACCTTCCGTGTTCCCCCACGTTGAAGGCACTTGAGTTTCAAGCCACAGGGAGTATCTCCCAACTGTGGGGAGCTACCCAACCCTCTGCCTGCCCTGGGACTCCAGGCCTACTAGTTGACAGTCTGATAAACTCATTATTAATATCACCTTTCTCTCTCTCTCTCTCTCTCTCTCTCTCTCTCTCTCTCTCTCTCTCACTCACTCTCTCTCTCTCTCTCTCTCTCTCTCTCTCTCTCTCTCTCTCTCTCCTTCCCAGCTAATTATAATGAATTACCTTGAAATTCCCTCCTGTTGCAGGATACCTCCCCCAGGCCTGCCTCGGGTCCCTGGACAGGGCACTTGAGTGGGATGTTTCTGGGCTTCCTGAGGGTTGTGTGGGGACCACTGGGGCAGTCAAACCCCGAGACCAGTCTCCTTCTTTCTGCTGGCCTGGAAGGCCTTGGCTGTGGCCTTCCAGGGCTTTTTCCTCATTGGCTGTTTGGCAGACCACCTAACTTCCATGATCTCAGGGTCTCAGGTTTCCTCCGCCAATACTGCCCCCTCACCCCATCTCCTTCCCCATGCGAAAGCTGGTAAATGGCCTTGGAGACTTGCTTAAACAGAATGTCACCTGCTGTGGCCAGATTGAGGGTCCCCTCACAGCGAGAGCTTAGAGTATACCAGAGCCCGCCAAGACGAGCCAGGGTCATTTCCCAGTGGACAGGGTGGGGGCCAGCTCCCGGGCCTCGGTTTCCAGTTCTCTTAAATAGAAGTGAAGAGAGAGGCACAAAAGGAAGAGAGTACCCATGTGCAGGGAACATCGTTTCTGACCAGAAAGGGGGTCACGTGCTCTGTGGATGCGTTCATGGGCGGCCCTTTACAGGGCTTTTCCTCTATTTCCCTCATTTGTATTTATCTATATAAATATATAGAAGTGAAAACACCATTTATTCATTTAAAGTAAATGATGTAAAAGGAAGAGGTTGGACCGGGTAATCTCCAGGCTTTCTCCATCTGGTTTGTTTTCCTTAAAGAAAAGCCCCTGTACCGCGAATTCCAGCTTCTGTTGTCGTGGCCTCCCACCCCATCGGAAGGAACGTGGGCGCCCAAAGAAGGGGCTGTGGCCTGGGGGAAGGGCTCGCCGGGGGACGCTCCCGGGAGCAGGACCAGGAGCCGGGGCGGGGGGGGGGCAGGGAAGGGGCCCCCATCTCTCCATTCTGGCCTCGGGAGGATTCCTGGGCTGCAGGTGCCCCATAATCCGTGCCAGGCTAGGCTTCCATCAATGTGCGCAGTTGTGAAGAGCGTGCAGACAGGGACAGCGTGCCACAGTGGCTAGAGCGGCAGAGCGTGGAGAGGCAGCCTGGGCTTCTGAGGAGGGGCTCCCCGCACTGCACAGTCGGGGGCGGGGGGAGGCTCTGAGGTGTCATCTGGGCCCGGGCCTCACCTTCAGAGGCCCTTGGCTCATTCCCAGGAGCAAGCCTGTGGTCTGTGTGTGTGCCCTCATCTCCCTCCCCCACACGGCCGCTGCCGCCCTTGGAGGGGCCCCGGGGGGCCCTCCCGCCTTCCGTGGCCCAGGAACGGTCCCTTCTTGGTCCTGGGCATAGGTTTGGGCCTCTTCAGTCCCTTGGCGTGTGCCTGGTCATAAGAGCCTAACTCCAGACCCGGCAGCGACCTCAGAGGCCATCTGGCCCAACCCTCTTGTCTTACAGATGGGGAAACTGAGGCCAGAGAGGGGAAGGGGCTCGGCTGAAGCCACTCAGCTGGTGAGCGTCCAGAGGAGGGCCTCAGGCTGCACAGGAGGGGGAGGCCGAGCCCTGCCGCGCCGTCCAGGGCACGCGGATCCCCAGGC